AAGAAAATTGTTGGATGTGTTCAATTTAAACATCCTCAAATCTCTAATCCTCACTTTCAAGATAACCTGCACATGCGTCATTGATCCTCTCTTCATACGTTAGAAAATATCAACAAACAGTGATTATATATAGGATAAAAAACGAAAATTACATGTATACATGCTCTCACATCTAATTACTTGCACATGTTTCGTTAATATAAGAGAGCTAGTTAATACATTCTTATTTTTCTCTCTCTATACATCAATTAACGACTGTCTTTTATGTGCAAGTCGAAAAAAAACGTTGCCTACGGGCTATTCTATCTGACTGCTTACTTTTTTTTTCACTAAGGTGAAATGAGTAATCTACGCATTAATTATCAGTATTATGAAAGAGGACGATCAACGTATTTCTCTTCACGTTGTTTTTGATTTCTGCATTCATTTAGATTCACGACTAGTGCACTTCTCATTCTTTTTGTACTCCCATCGTCCTTGGGCATTATTTAACGGTAACTACGAATATACTATTTGTATTGACTTTGAGCTACTTAGACAATATCTATTCATGTCAAACGTCCTTACCCTGATGAATAATGTGATTCCGAACTCTGTTCTATTATCATTCTTGCGAATAGACAAGAAGATCAACAGCTCACGAACTAGTTGTTGATTTTTTTCATTGGGAAAAGGGTTTTTTAAAATAATGAATTTTTTTTTATAAAGTTTGACCAAAGGTATTCGTGATCGAGGAAATCGAATCTGTAATTGATTTTTTGAAATTTTGAGTTTGATGTTTTTCAAAACAATTTTTTACGAAAAAGTTACTTTTTTACTAAAAACCATAGTTTAAGGAAAAAATGATCTTTTACATTAAAAACTATATTTGAAAAAAAAACGAAACTCAATATTTCGAAAAACCATTTGCAGATTCCAATTCCCGACTCAGATTACTTTTAGTCAAACTTCGTAAAGAAAAATTATTCTAAAAAAAAACCTTTCCCTGATGAAAAAAAAATCAAACTTCAAATATCACTCTGTTAGTTCGTTTCAACAAGCTTAACTTTGTTTATTCTTTCATATGTTAAATCTCTTCTCAAATGTCCTTAAATCACTAGGTATATATACCCATAGAGAGGAGAAAAAGAAGGAGAAACAACAATAACAATAACAATAACGACACAGTAGAAAGAAGAAGCGAGAGAATCACACACATCAATACTAAGTTCACCAATTTGTTTAACTATATCACGTATGGCATTAATAAGATAATCAAATAGATATATATTTAATCCATAATCAATTTCAAATAATAAATCATAAAAATCGTACAGGATGATTAAGTTTTTGTAAATAAACGTGCTAATAGTTGTATCCGTATATGAAAATTTTTCTTTCCTTTGATGTGTTAGATGTGCATATATCATAATGTTGTTTTGATTATAGTAAAGTTATCGATGTGTAACACGTGCATTATTCGTTGCATCGTACAGTATGGCCACTTCTGTCATAGCGCCTTGATTATAATGCACTGTGATTGGTGGATGAGTCATCGTGTATGATGGATTTATCAGATGAATAAATTACATGAAATAAAATCAATTAAAATGAATGTTTGAGTTAGACAACCCCTCCTCACCAGTGAGAAGGTGAAATTCTGTCTCTACGGCATAGACTGCTGAATTCAACTCAATCATTTTCATCTAATTTAATGAATAATTTTCTCTTCTTTTTTTTTGACTTTTGCTGGTGTTTATACTTTACTAATTATATCATCTAATTTCACATCTTTCCCTTTCGGGATGTGGTTATTGGATTAAATTCCATCGTTCCACCAATGGAATCATAACATTCATTGTTACTTGTCTTATTAATGTTAATTTTTTTTACATGTTGAACAATGAATGTTTTATAATTTTAAATGAACCTTCATTTCGTATATCAAGTTTATTTCTAACATTTCTTGTTTTGATTAAAACTAAATCATTAACTTTTAATAATAAATCTTGTCTATTTAAGTCATATTGAGCCTTATATTGTTGTTGATTTTTAATAATATTGTTCCGAGCTTCATGTACTAATTTTTCAAGGTATATTCTAATTTTTTGATTGTATTCTGGATCTTTTGTGAGCGAAGTAATTTCATTTTGTTGATCGAATGGAAGAGTCGCTTGTCGTCCATGCATCATTTCAAGTGGTGTTCATTTTGTTGTTGCATGTATTGATGTATTATAATTATATGTGACAAATTGATTCTTCTTCGATGAAATAATTAGAAGAAGATTGATCACGGCACCAATGTTAGCTTTGTTTATTCTTTCATATGTTAAATCTCTTCTCAAATGTCCTTAAATCACTAGGTATATATATCCATAGAAAGGAGGAGAAGAATAAGAGAAAAAGAAGGAGAAACAACAATAACGATACAATAGAAAGAAGAAGCGAGAGAGAAAAAGAAAGAGAATCGAGGGTAGGCAGAATGTGAACCACCGTTAACACTCTCCTATTTAATATAGGAAAACCGCTCACGCTCATGAGCGTGAGCTGTACATCCCTACTTAACACTTAATTTTAAAAATTAAGTGTTAACTTAGTATTAAGAAATAAAGTGGCAATTGCTAAACTCTTTTTTATTAATATAAAGTATTAACCCTTTCTTGCCTGTAACTAAACTTTAAGGTCTGGGACTGAAATTGGTCTGGTAATGTGATCACTACGGCCTCTAATATGCGCAAAAAAGGTTTGAATCACATTACTTAAATGCTGGTACAGTTGACATATTGAATGTTCGATAGTTACATTTCTTGCAATAAGTGCTGACCCTTCTTCAACAACCTGAACAATGACACCTATAGGTGCCATTCGGCAAGAAAGGGTTAAGCCAAGTCAAGATACTGTAATATATGCAATATTGAATTGTAGATTGTTGCAATTGATTTCGTTGGTCAAGCTTCACTAAAATACTGATAATAAATACAGATGCAATACTTGTAATTATTTTTCGTCAATTTTTGTTGAAAACTGTTAGGGATCAATAATCAAAATATTTAAAAAAATATGAAAATTGACCACAAATTTAGAGTTTTCATTCTCGATTACTTTTATTGCAGCTTTCGTAGAAAGTAAGATTGTGACATTCTGCTACTAGATGGATACTTCTTTCTGAATATGTGTATAGATGATAGACAAACATTTTTTGTTTAGAAGATCCTTTTTTTCAGAAAACCGAATAAAAAATATTTCGATTTTTCCTTATTAGCACGATGAAAAAAGATACAAAAATATCTCGAAACAAGAAACTAGTTAGTGGTTGATATCGTGTATACTTGAGCGAAATTGTTTTCGAAAAAAAATCATCTTCTCTCTAAGAAAACGTAACTTAAAGATCGAAAGCGACTTTTTTTTTCAAAACTACATGTAGAGTGGCGCCCTTACAAAATTTGTTTGAGAAAAATTATAATTATTAATCACAAATCATGCAAGTGTTCACAAGAATACATTTTTTTCACTCTGAAATGTTACAAGTACGTTCTCAAGGCTTACTTTTAGATTGAAAGAAGTAAGACAATACTAGTTTGAGTGTAAGAAAAACTTTAATGACATTGAATCGGTACAGATCGTAAGAGAGGATTCTAGTCGATGCTTTTATTTGAAAGACATACGCAACTATTTGCACATTTAATGTCAGTAGTACGCGCCGTTTTTCGCAAATAAAGTAGTTAAGTTAATTGCTTGGTCTAATACAAGAAGGTGAATTGTGAAGTACTTCAGAATATTTTTCTAGGCATCTAATTCGAGATCTACTGTTGACGAGAAAATCGACTTTTTGAGTAGGTGCGCCCTCTGGCATGATATGCAATAAAATCTGGAATTTATTTTGTTTTGAACAACAAAGGTAAACAGAATAGAACATACCCTGATGCATAACTTTGGTACTCACCATAAATATAAACAAATTTAGAAACCAAAAGGAAGAAGTTTGCATATTTCTATTTCACAAAAAGGAAACGAAGAGTTGAAAAAAAAAATAATTTTTTTCTAAAGTTAGGTAATAGCTAATTTTCTTCATGATAGGACTTGACGTGAAGAGATTTGAATCAGTTACATTTATAAGCGTTACATGAAACTAGACGTAAATGATTGAATGATACGCGAACTATCTCGAAATACTGTAAGAAATCATACACAATACATGCATAAAAGAACTGTAGTATCATTGATGAGAATAAGCTATTTGAAGAGATCATCCGAACATGTTTCAGTCGGTAGCGTTAGATAATATGCACTGAAAGGTATCAATTGGTAATAGAATGATCGTAATAAAAAAGAAGACAGCAAAGTCGTTGAATTAATCAAAAGCATTGGAATTTTCGAAGACGTCACAGAATAGGAAGTAACAAACTTGTATACTGTCAATTGAAGCTTGTTGATAATATGGCGAAAGCGATATTTCGACACTATCTCGAATAATATATTCAGAGGATGCACAAGCAATTGCGCCAATCTAGAAAAATTTGATTGATAAGATTTGCTGAGATTCCAAACTTTGTGCAATGTTTGTCTATTGCATCTCGTGACACGATTGGTATCATATATACGTTACTTGTAGCATCGATTACAGTCCTCTGAATAATTATGTATTAATGTTAATATTTTAAAAATTAAGTGAGAGTGATTTTAAGCAGCTATTAGTGACAGAATATCTCATAGTAGATATTATTAGAGCACTGCGGGACAGTCCCGAATCCCGAAAAATCCCGTTTGTCCCGTCCCGCGGGACAAACGGGATTGTCCCGAAAATTTTTCGGGACGGGACAAACAGGATCGTGGCAATCCAAAACTTTTCGGGACGGGACAAATGGGATCGGGACAATATAGAAAAAACCTATGTCCCGAATTTTTTTATCCATATATGGAAACATGTCGTACACTTTAACTTTATTATTTCTAACAAATATGTTAATATTTTCAACAAATAACACAAAAAAAGAAAAAAAAAGAAATATTGAGAAACTTATCTAAAGTTGTTCTTCATCATTATCTTCGTCCGTTGTTGCTTCATCGACTTCCTGAGTTTCTGTCATTAATTTGATCTTTTTATTTGGTGTTGTTGATGTTGTTGAATCAGTTGAAATTAAACTAATTCTTCTTTTTGCACAATGTTCAACTGGTGGAGGATAAATATCTTTTAATGTTCGCATATTTCGTTTAATGAATAATAATCTATTAACTTTATCAGGATCTAAACTTGTTCGTCGATTTGTGACAGTATTGCTACTATGGGAAAATAAACGTTCTACAGAAGTATTCGTGGCAGGAATTGCCAAAACACGTTTAGCTATTCGAGCTAAATTAGGATACAAGGACTTGTTTGAGTTCCAATAAGATAAAACATTCATATCATTAGCAATTCTTGTTTCATCTGCTAAATATAAATCAAGTTCTGTTTTTTCAATCGATGGTTGTAAATAATTTTCATCATCAGGTACATCATATATTTCATCTAATGAATTTATTGAATGCATATTTTTTTTCACTTTCTTTTTATCTTTATTATTTAATGTTGTTGTTTGAAGTGGTTGCCCAACAACCGAATCCAATAATTTATTAAGTTCCAATTTAAGTAATTCAACAGCATGTTCTTTTTTACTTGGTATAAGGTAAAAGCTTTTTAAATTGGGATGCAATAACATCACAATATAGTGTATATCTTGAATAATCTAATAATCTTTCAAATGTTGAGACAGATAACGTTTTAATTGAATTAAATTTTGATGATCATCACCATTTTTTGTTGATCTATTAATTAACAACTGCTTGTATGGAATCACTAAATGTAAGGTTGGCGTTTGTTCACAGCAGAGTTTTTCCAAAACATCATGAAAATGTTTCAAATATTTTGTTAATTGTTCTAATTCGATGAAATTGATTTTTAAATAATTTTGTCGTTGATTGTTATTTAAAACAGATGGTAATTCATTATAAACCATAAGAAATGTGTTTAGCATTATATAAACCGTGCTAAAACGTGTTTTACAATAATTCTGAATGCATACAGATAATGACGATTGTTTATGACTTTGACTAATATAACTAATAATATCTCGTACTATCAAAAATAATTTTTGAACACCAGCACAAAGTGGTTCATCTAATTCAAATGGATGCTCAAGAATCTTGTTGATGTAATGGGCGCTGCATCCAACTCTTGTTGTATCATCCTTGAATGCACAAGCCATTTTCGGTTCATTGTCGGATACAACGAACATATCTTCATTAAGTTTAAGACCGAATTCTTCCACTATTGTATTTACGAAATCACGAATATTATGTGCTTTTTGATTTGGAAGATCATATAACTTGCAAGCTAATATGAATATTCGTAAATAATAATTATCATCAGTGAAATGTAAACTAATACCGCAGTAATGTAAACCTGTAATAAAGAAAACAAGAGACAATTTTTAATCACTAAACATAGGAATATTAATGCAATGCTACATTTTTTAAAAGTAAATAAATCCTCTATATCGGAAAATAAAAAATGAATAAAACGTTTGAATTTGAAATTTAAACAACGATAACTTTGAAAATTAATAATAAGAAACAATGATAAATACTATTATATTTTTTCCAACGCGTAGTTCATTTATTTATATTCCCAAAATCTCTTGTCATTTATATATTTCTCATATCACTATGGGTTTTCTTCCTTTTATGCTTTTTCAAAAATCATGTTCACAAAATAATCATTTTACTAAACTTCTTGAATACATACCAGTGTGAGGTTCAGACCAAAAGTCACATGTAATTGCGAACTGCTCCACGTTCTGACATAAAAGAATTAATTGATCTTTAAGTCTAGTATAAACACGATCAACATTACGTGAAACCTATGAAAGAAAAAAGCATATAGATTAGATTAAAAAAAAGCTGACACTTACAGTTGTTGAATGTGGTAATAAATCATTCACAGAGAATCCTGTTCCGATAAGAGCACCGGCATTCATCAGCTGCTTTGCCAAGTTAATAAAACCTTCACCGGTTACTGTATCAAATGGTCTACCATCGAGTGCACAAAACTCAACACATGCTTCAACAATCCGATCTTTAATTGATGAATAATTATCCGGAGCTGGTGGCATATAAGACGATATGGTACGTTGACGTGAAGGTGTTGTTGATGTTTTTGATGATGATTTATTTTCACAATTATGATTCTTCATCACTTTTGTACCTGTCTCACTGGTCCACTTTAATACAACACGACATAGATTACAAACAATATAATTTTGTGCAATATTCAAATGATGCAATTGAGTAAATTTTGACCACAATTCAGATCGTGCATTGGAAGGTTTTATTAGTGAAATTGATGGATCATTGATCATTACCAATTGTTGGAAATCATGTTTAGATAATGTTTTTTTATGAACGGTTGATGACATTTTTATTGTAATTTAATAATAAACAGTAAAGAAATCGCTACGGAATATAACCTAATTTTTATTTTTAAAACGTTTCGTTAACTATTGTGAACGTCGTCAGTCAAAAAAAATGAAGTTACATAAAAATGAAGAAGAATATATACAGGCAAAAATTTTACGCACATTGACTGAGATAAAAATAAGTTATTTTCTTATTTTTATCTCAGTCAATGTGCGTAAAATTTTTGCCTGTATATATTCTTCTTCATTTTTATGTAACTTCATTTTATTTTTTGACTGACGAAGCTCACAATAGTTAACGAAATGTTTCAAAAATAAAATTTAGGTTATATTTGATAGCAATTTCTTGGCTGTTTATTATTAAATGCCGTTACCGAAAAATAAATAACAATTACTCATTAAAAAATGTAGGGAATTGCATCTTTCAAAGAGACAAAAAGTCAAAGAGAAATCTTTAATCTATTGTTTTATTATTCATTCTCGAAATTATTCAATGAAGCATTAATTTATCTACCAATCATCTGAATGCATGCGTTTTTCCTATCGATGGTACAAAAACACATATTGTCTTCTTCAACAGAGTGATATCTTTATATTTTTTCTGATCAAAAGGGCAAACGGGAGAAACGGGATTTGACGGGACAATTTGAAAAATTTCGGGACGGGACATTCGGGATCGGGACTATTAAAAAAAATTTCGGGACGGGACATTCGGGATCGGGACAACTCGGAAAAAAATCGGGACGGGACATTCGGGACGGGACACAAAAAAAGTTTGTCCCGCAGGGCTCTACTCCACACCCACATCCCACACACCCACACCCCACACCCTAGCAAGGGGAAAAAAACGGAATCCGGGAATCCTGGAATCTGGTGGAATATTACGGAATCCCACGGAATCATGGAATCCGATGGAATCATGGAATCCAATGGAATCGTGGAATCCAATGGAATCCCCGGAATCATGGAATCCAATGGAATCCAATAGAATCTAATGGAATCCAATGGAATCCGATGGAATCCCCGGAATCATGGAGTCATGGAATCCAATGGAGTCCAATAGAATCCGATGGAATCCAATGGAATCCGATAGAATCCGATGGAATCCCCGGAATCATGGAATCCAATAGAATCCGATGGAATCCAATGGAATCCGATGGAATCCAATAGAATCCAATGGAATCCGATGGAATCCAATGGAATCCGAAAGAATCACAGGGAATCTTTGGAATCCAGAGAAATTCAAGATTCCAGGATTCCGTTTTTTCGGGGGTGTGGGTGGGTGTGGGGTGTGGGTGTGGGTGTGGGGTGTGGGTGTGGGTG